AGCTGCCGCGCGGCCTCGGCTGTACTTCGTTCCGCTCCTACAGCAGGTTCTTGGTCTTTCTCCTTCGGTAGAGTGTCCACAGCCTGTCCAGTCGCAGTCACTGTTGGAGCCTTCCTCTCCTCTGCCTGCTCCCTCTCCTTACACTGGTCCTACTAGAGGTCTTGCTGAGCGTCGTGAGCCTGCGTCTCGTCCCGCGTTGCCGGTTCGTGCTGCTCGCGCTAGTGGTCGCGGTTCGCGTCAGCGTCCTCCTCCTGTCCCTGGCACGCACCGGATGTCTCTGCGTCCGTCCACTGCTCCTCTGCGTGCCCCTTTGCCTTCTCCTCCTGAGTCCTCTCTTCCTGCGTTTGCCGACCCTGAGTCGGACTCTCTTCGCGCTGCCAGTCCTACTGTCACGCGTCTGCTTGCTACTGTCGTCACTGACCCCTCTTTTGAATCCACTGCCGCGTCTGCTCTAGTCGCTGAGCTCGTTGACTTTGCTGCTCGCTGTCGTCTCGACTACGCTGCTAGTCTTGTTGCTGAGTCTGCGTCTGTCTGTCCTCCGTCCGTCGGGGGTGAGTGTGCTCTTGGCACGGACGTCCTAGAGGACAGGCAGGAGGAGTTACAGTGTCTAGCGGCTGCTTCACCTCATCTCGCGTCTGTACTGCTTGCCCCTGAGGGAGACCCGGATGCACTAGACATCCCGACTCCGCGTTCTTACGCGGAGGCCGTAGAGGGTCCCTACTCCTCTCGGTGGCAGGCAGCTATGGATGCAGAGATGGCTTCCTGGAAGTCCACAGGCACCTACGTTGACGCGGTTCCCCCTCCTGGGGCGAACATCGTCAGTGGCATGTGGATCTTCAGGGTGAAGCGGCCGCCGGGCTCTCCACCTGTCTTCAAGGCGCGGTACGTTGCTCGTGGCTTCAGTCAGCGGCAGCGAGTTGACTACTTTCAGACCTTCTCTCCCACCCCGAAGATGACCACTCTTCGGGTGCTGCTGCACATAGCCGCTCAGCGCGACTACGAGCTTCACTCTCTCGACTTCAGCACTGCGTTCCTGCAGGGTAGCCTGCACGAGGAGATCTGGCTGCGCCGTCCACCTGGCTTCACTGGGACTTTCCCTCCTGGCACCCAGTGGAGCCTCCGACGGCCAGTCTACGGTCTCCGCCAGGCACTGCGTGAGTGGCACGACACACTGAGGACTACGCTTTCGGCTCTTGGGTTTGCTCCTTCTACTACTGACCCGTCGCTGTTTCTGCGCACCGACACTTCACTGCCGCCGTTCTACATCCTCGTGTACGTCGACGACTTGGTCTTTGCCACAGCGGACACTGCTGGACTCGCCTACGTGAAGTCCGAACTGCTGAAGAGACACACGTGCACAGACCTGGGTGAACTGCGCAGCTACCTTGGCTTGCAGATCACTCGGGACAGAGCACGCCGCACCATTACCTTGACTCAGTCACACATGGTGCAGCAGGTCCTTCAGCGCTTCGGCTTCACGTACTCCTCGCCTCAGGCCACTCCTCTGCCTACTCGCCACTCACTCTCAGCTCTGCCTTCGGATGAGTCCGTAGAGTCGAGTGGTCCGTATTCAGAGCTTGTTGGCTACCTCATGTACCTGATGACCTGCACTCGACCTGACCTTGCATACCCTCTGAGCATCCTTGCACGCTATGTTGCTCCTGGGAGACACCGACCAGAGCACATGGCTGCAGCGAAGAGGGTATTGCGCTACCTGTGCAGTACGTCGGGCATGGGGCTAGTGCTTGGAGGGCGGAGTCCAGTGGTCCTTACAGGCCACGGGGACGCTGCTTGGGCTGGCGACCAGGCTACGCAGCGGTCGTCACAGGGTTACACCTTCAGCCTTGGTTCCGGCTCTGTCTCGTGGCGGTCTACTCGCTCGTCTTTAGTTCTCGGCTCCAGTTGTGAGGCTGAGATCTACGCCGGGGCCATGGCTGCACAGGAGCTTCGCTGGCTCACCTACCTGCTGACTGACCTTGGAGAGCCGCCTCGTTCTCCTCCAGTGCTGTACGTAGACAACAAGGCCATGCTGGTCTTGTGTCGAGAGCAGCGCTTGGAGCACAGAATGAAGCACATTGCTCTCCGCTACTTCCTTGCTCGTGAGCTGCAGCAGCGTGGTCAGTTGCGACTTGCGTACGTGGCCTCTGAGGCCAACACTGCTGATGTGTTCACCAAGGCACTCGCGCCTTGTGATCATCAGCGCTTTTGCACCCAGCTGGGTCTTGTGCCTGTCTTGCCTCACTTGCTCTCCTCTTGACTTTACTTGTACTGTGACATATATATATATACCTGCTCTTGCTTGTCTAGTTTTATATATATGTCTGTACTCCTGCATGTGAACTGGCCTCTGGCCCTGCTCTTGTGCTCGGACTGTGTGGTGACTTTGTGATCCACCCTGAGCTTGCTTTGCTTTGCTTGACTGGTCTTGTGACCCCTTGTTCTCCCCCACTTTGCCTATGGGGGTGTGTCAAACATCATACATGTTATGCTTGTGTAGGCTACAGTGGGTTAGCCTATAGGGGGTACACAATTCTAGGGTTTACTACTTGTACTCATTTCACTTCTAGTTCATTCATTCCTGTTCGCTTATTCTCACATGCGATACGATGGGCACTCATTGTAGTGGGCAGGACGCGGCTCTGTACCATTGTTCGATGCGCACGCTGATTCTTGTAACGTGCGTCACACGATTCGAGGTACGTGCAGGGGGTGTGCCGTATCGTGAACGGGAGCTGATCGTGTCTGGCATTTTTTGCAAAACTCAGTGTTACAACTCAAATTGTGGTAACTGAAGGGCTTTACAAACAGTAAATGAACGAGCTGGACACCCCCTAAGAAGAAAAATTGAAGGAGGTGTAAAAGAATCGTTGAGCAGCCAAGAAATTCGTAAGCCAGGATGAACTCGCGGCGTGCCATCAAACGACATGTCAATGAAGCGAAGTTTTGTGGCTCGGGAGATGCAAGAATCTGAGCGACTCTGCTTTTTGGCAGATTGTCTAGAGCTGCGCCGAAGGAAATTTTTGAAGGCGAGGAACTGAGCGAGAATTAGCTGGAGCGTCTCGAAAGAGGTGGTGGAGGCGTCGCGCTATCTACGATCGCACCGATTATTCCATATGAGGGCGGGTTCGAAGTGAAATCGACATCCGTCGACATCAGATGTCGGAAAATCGTGACGGTTGGAACTCTCAATCCGAGGGTTGAAATTTACCGACATCCATCGACATCCATTCGACGCTTCACTTCGGATACGCTCTAACATTTGCTGCAGCACCAACGAGAATACTCCAAGGAACAGTTTGGCCAACCCTTGAAGCCACAGGCCTAAAGCCTGTGGTGCATTTAATGAAGATCATGACTTGTTGCGGCTTGTTGTCATTCATCCTCTCACCTTCCTCACATGTTTCCAGCAGTGTCCCTCAAGCAGCAGATTTGCCTTCGACGAAATGGCGTTTACTGTAGTGAAACGTTTTGCTCGTTCGACATGATTACTCTTTCCGGGACGGAAACCAGTTGAGCTTTCAGTGCGTCTTGATCTGTTTTCTACATGCCAATTGAAACTTCGACATGCGAAAGTGTGAGTTTCAGAAAATGTTTTGTACTGTACTTCGAATTTAATTATCGCTGTTGGGTCGATTCTGTGTGTCATCTCGTGACGTGCATTGCCCTGATGGATGAGCTGGAGTCAGGGCTGCCTTGAAAAATCCACTTCAGGCCACGGATCTTCAGGCACCAGAGGGCGCACTGCCTGACTTTTGCACACGACAACGTGGTGATTCAGGCAGGCACAAAGCATTACCCCAAATCTTGTCATTCGGCCTCTAGGATTTTCGCCAATAGCCAGTCGGACATTGCGGTGACAAATGATCACTCACATGGAGGCCCGGTTCCCAAACATGACACACACGACTGATCCCAGACTGAGGTTGTGGCGGTGCTAGCCCGAATTTCCGAGCCTGCATTGCACCCCCGAGTGAAATTTGACCCGTACTTTGCACCTGCATCCTTCCTGCAGTCCCCCGTCTAGCCCGGGGGGTTGCACCTCCCTGTCCCGCACTGCATCAGCGATACAGTTTATTTGAGACTTGTGGTTCGCATTGCATTCCATTCACACCTCACTTCGAGACTCTCGTTACCATAATGAGTTCACGCTAGCCTACGTCTGATTCCCCCAAAAACCCCGGTTTCTGACGTCAACGACGATGGAAGGAATCTCTTTTTTATTTGCCACCTGATGCAATGAATGAGATCCTTTCAGCAACACGTTGCCATCTGCCCTTTCCTCCCCGACCGACTGGACCTCCCCCATTCTGCCTCACTTCTGGCTGCTAATAAATCTGATGCGCTAGTCCAAGCGCTGTTTACGCACTGTCCTTACATATCTAATCTGCCCCAACAATTCCCCCCACCCGCCTCCCCTGGCCCAGCAAACGCGGTTTCAGCATTTTCGCCGGTTTCTTGGGACCCATTTTCCTTTCCGCGCCAATCACAGCCACAGCCAGAACACGCATCCGACAAATCACGTCTCTGTGGAGCCATGCTCCTCCGGAGGTTGACACAATGGACGGAATCGACAATCGACGCGTCAGCTCCGCCAAGAAGCGCAACGCGCGAGTCTCCCCTCCCCTGCCATCCCAATTGGACATACAAAATGAGCCCCGCACCTCCACAATTTGCAAATCAGCCCTGACTACTAGTCCACTGGACACCAAAGTCGTGAGACCTACAGCTTCCAGAACAGCTAGATAATCTCGTCGAAGCAGGGACAATCTCTTCTGAGCAGAGACACAGTCCATTCTTGAGCTGCTTCTCCACGTGGCCACCTAGTTTCATCTGGCTTCTTGACATCCCGTCTTCCAACTACCGATAGACCTATTTCTTTCAAGGACGACTCCAGCTTCCTTCGCTTCTGCCGAGTACAAAACCAGTTTTCTCTGCTTTCGAACATTTCCAACTTCAGTCGCACACTCCACGTGTTTCCCACACAACTTTCACCAGCGGCCATGGCCTCAACTCCTATAATTCGTCCGCGTCCCACAGCGGAGCTTTTCGCACGCTACGCCTTCACAGAGACAATCGGCCAGGGTCATTTCGGAAAGGTATGGCGCTGCCTCGACCGCACGACGGGCAAGGCGCTCGCATGCAAACAAGTGCGCAAGACCGGCCTTTCCGACAACGACTTGGCCGACCTTGAGCGCGAAATCTCCGCAATGCAGCTGCTGCAGGGCCACCGCCACGTTCTCGCTCTGCGCGGGCTTTTCGAGGATTCTAACAACGTGTACATGATCACTGACCTGTGCACTGGGGGCGATTTGTTCGATCTGATCGCGCGCACGGGTGGGCTCGACGAAGACACCGCGGCGCGGCTATTTGCACAGATTTCACAGGGCGTGCGATGGTGCCACGTGCACCGCGTCGTGCATCGCGACATCAAGCCCGAAAACATCCTACTCGCCAAATCCCCGTCGTCGACTTCACAATCCGCTCCCTCCAACACCGCCGCCAAGTCCGCCTCCGGCGCCGCAGCTGACGGTCTCGACGCGTGCCTCGCGGATTTTGGCCTCGCGTTTCAACTCGCGCCCGGAACAGCTATTATCGGAGTCGCCGGGAGCGCGCCTTACGAGGCGCCCGAGGTGCTCGCACGACAGCCGTATGATTTCAGCGCCGACATCTGGTCGCTTGGCGTGCTCCTCTATTCCATGCTCGCCGCTGGTTGGCCCTCGTTCCCCAACAACCGCCGCCAACTGCGCCCAGCCGTCGATTTCGCCGACGCGCCGTGGCGAACGGTCTCTCGCGAGGCGAAAGATCTCATCCGTCGGATGCTCACCCAAGACCAGTTCGAACGGTTGGATATCCACGGCGTGCTGCAGCACCCATGGCTCGCGTCGCGCCTCGCCGCCATCAGCCAGAAGCGCAGAGCCTCCGCCGCATCCCCTGCCACAAATACCGCCGCCCCCGCTACTGCCGTTCCGGCGCCACAGAAAACCGCGCAAAAGCCTCCGCACCAGCCGCGGGAGGTGCAGCGCGACGCGCGGGAGGAGTTAAAGCAGTTGAAGCAGCACCACAGGGCGTTGTGTTCGTTTGATTCAGACAACTCCGTCGACTTCGACAACCACGAATCGCACCTCCCCGCTCTCCTCCCCGTGCCGACCGACGCAAGCTTCGCCAGGGAGTCGTGCGGAAATACCGCCGAGGAGTGCGACGCGCATAACCCTAAATTGCGCCTTCCGCTCACCTCCGTCGCTGCGCCTTGCGGCGCCGACATCGCATCTGTCCGCAGAACCGGCAACACTAGCCGCGAAAGCAGCGCGTCTAGTTTCGACTTCGTTCCGTCGCATTCTTCGTTCTCGACTACGTCGTCCGCATCCTCCGCGTCTTCCGTGGCGGAGATCTCGCAATCTACTGGCGCTGCGATGTCCAAGAATGTCCCATCCTCCCACGTTTCGGGCGTTGACATTCTGGCGGCCTAGATGTTTGAGTTACTTTTGATACTTAGGTCTACACAGGGTTTCCTTTGTATATTTAAATTATTCATATTCATTCTTTGTTAGTAATGCTGCAAGCTAGGCAAAACGCTTTCTCTTGTATTCCACTTACCTTAAATCGTGAAGCAGTGGATATTTCTATAATTTCACCAACATCATCATAATAGATGCAGTAGGAGCTTTTAAGGAGGTGGATAGGTGATGTTACTGTACAAGCTTACCTGAGTGGTTCGCTTGTATGAAACTTGGTCAATCATCATGTCTCATTAATTATGAAACCCCAATGTTACAAATTGGATGACAACTATTTGAGGGACAACTTGCTACAAGCTTCTTTCCCTTCCACAAATTCCGCTCTCCCATTCCTACAAACTACTCATCCTCACTTTCCTCTTCTTCCATCAGTCACTTTGGCTAAACGCATGGTGGGGGGTGTCACCAGGTGTGCCTTGAGATGCGTCACAAGGTGTCTCACCAGGTCCATCACGAGGTGCGTCCACATGTGTGTCAATGGGAGTGTCAAAAGGTGCACCAAGAGAAGTGTCACCAGGTTCGTCACAAGACGTGTCACGAGGTGTGTCACCAGGTGCGCCACGAGCCGCATCGTATGGTGCGACATGAGGTGCATCAAGAGGTGTGTCACGGGGTGCAGTTGCGGTTCGCTCTCTCGCCCTGCGCTGCTGTTGCGCTTCCATGCGGCCCCACCCCAGGTCAGACAGAGGAATACCCATGGACGCTGCCAAACCCACCAGACACTTTTTGTAAGAGAAATCTGAGCATGCAGGAGAGGCGGGAACGGCAGGAGCAGGAGGAGGAGAAGGCAAAAAAGGAGGAGTGGGAGAGGGAGGAAGAGGAGGAGTGGGAGAGGGAGGGGACGCAGAGGGAGAGAGGGTCGGCTGGGAAGGTTCGGGAGGAGGCGAGGCAGGGAGCGTGGAAGGGGAAGCAGGGGGAAGGGAGGTAGGTAGTGCGGAGGGGGACGGTTGGGAAGGGGAGGCAGGAGCGACCTGTGGGGAACATCTGGGAGAGTGCTGAGAAGAGTTGTCTGCTGGCTCGTGGGATGAGTCAGGAGGGGGAGGAGGATGGACGATGGAGTTGGCAGCAGGGTGGACGATGGTGGGAGAGTGCTGAGAAGAGTTGCCCGTGGGCTCGTGGGATGAGTCAGGAGGGGGAGGAGGATGGACGATGGAGTTGGCAGCAGGGTGGGTGATGCTGTTGGCAGCAGGGTGGACGATGCTGGGAGAGTGCTGAGAAGAGTTGCCCGTGGGCTCGTGGGATGAGTCAGGAGCGGGAGGAGGATGGACAATGGAGTCGGCAGCAGGGTGGGTGATGCTGTTGGTAGCAGGGTGGGTGATGGTGTCTGCAGCAGGGTGGGTGATGCTGTCGGCAGTAGGGTGGGTGATGCCGTCGGCAGCAGGGCGGGTGATGCTGTCGGCAGCAGGGTGGGTGATGGTGTCGGCAGCAGGGTGGGTGATGGTGTCGGCAGCAGGGTGGGTGATGCTGTCGGCAGCAGGGTGGACGATGAAGAAACAGGTGGTGTTGGGGTGGTCTGGATGATGGTCCACCTGTGGAGGTGGTGATAGGGAAGGGCGGGAGGGGCAGGGGGGTAGGGTTGAGGCGAACGATGGCATCAGTGGCAGGGTGGACGATGGAAAAATAGATGGTGTTAGGGTCTTCTGGATGATGGTCCACCTGTGGAGGTGGGGAGGGGCAGGAGCAGGCATTTACAAGGCGCCAATACACATGGTTTCAAGGAAGAGAATGGTGCTGGGGTGCTCTGGACTGGACTGTGGTGGGGTCCCTGACAAAAAGAAAGACGGAAAGAACCTTTGCACCTGTGGCTGAATGCAGCGTATGCGTTTAGAGAATTCTAAAAAAACATACACTGTGGTGGGGTCCTTGCAAAAGAAAGACGGAAAGAACCTTCGTACCTGTGGCTGAATGCTCCCAGACTCCACACGCTCACCCACCTTGATTGCCGCCACACCAGCAGCCATCTTCTCGAGCGCCCTGGGGTGGTGCCGCAGCAGCTTGCTCGCCGGTGCAACTTAAACACCCACTCTCTCGCCCACACGCACACCCACATTCACCCACCCACCTTGATTGCCGCCACGCCAAGAGCCATCTTCTCGAGCGCCCTGGGGTGGTGCCGCAGCAGCTTGCTCGCCTGTGCAACTTAAACACCCACTCTCTCGCCCACACGCACACCCACATTCACCCACCCACCTTGATTGCCGCCACGCCAAGAGCCATCTTCTCGAGCGCCCTGGGGTGGTGCCGCAGCAGCTTGCTCACAACGAAGTCACGGTCTTCCTCAGATAGCACCTGCTCCGGGTGGTACCTCACGTGCAGCAGCTCCCACGCCCGCCGCCTCACTGCCTGGAGCATGTCCATTGCATCATACCTCCCATCGTCCTCGTCCCCCATGTACACCCGGACTCTGCTTCTCCTGCCTTGCTGCTGCCGCTGCTGCTGCTGCTGCTGCTGCTGCTGCCGCTGCTGCTGCTGCTGCTGCTGCTGCCGCTGCTGATGAGACTCTTGATGCTGAGCTGGCTGCCTCTCCTCTTCAGTGCAAGCCTCTGGAGCAACAGCAACACCAGGTGCGTCATGGGCGTCAGCATCCGCATGAGCGTCGGATAAAAGGGTACTAGCAGGAGCTGCAGCAGTGTTGGGGTTATCAGCATCGCGCGCAACATCAGCAGCAAGAACAGCAGCAGGGGTTTCAGCATCAGCAACAGCAACAGCATCAGCAGAAGCATCAGAGCGCCCTTCCGTGCCTGTCTCCTCTTCCTTCCGCTCCCTCCACTGCTTCAGCTGCTCTGCCAGCACTCGTCGCAGGCTCACCCCTTCCGCTGCCACCTCTTGTCCCTCCTCTGCCCTCGCTTCTCCCGCCTCTGCCCTCCTATCGGCCCCTTCTGCCCTCTCTTCTGCCCCTTCTTCCGCCTTCTCTTCTGCCCTTTCTTCTCCCTTCTCTACTGCCCCTACTTCTCCCCTCTCTTCTGCCCTATCTGCCTTCCCTTCTGCCGCTTCTGCCCCTTCTGCCCTCTGCTCTGCTTTCTGTCCGCATCGGTCAAGGAAGACAGGCAGAGAGGAGGGGTGCAGACCCGGCAGCATGGTTGTCGGGTGCTGTGACAAGGAGGAGGCCAGGGAGGCGGCCATATGTGGAGGAGGAGGGGGAAGAGGAAGGGGTGGAGGAGGAGGAGAGGCGTTGGGAGCTGGAGTTGGTGTGAGGGAGTCATGAGGAGGTTGGAGAGGAGGAGGTGGGGGAGGAGGAGGGAGGCTAGTTGACTCACGAGCCGGGAGGGGAGGAGGAGGAGGAAGGTGCGAGGGTGGAGCGGAGAAAGGCGGAGGTGGAGGAGGAGGAGGAGGAAACAAGGTATCTCCAGACGCATTTCCTTCATTCGCCTCTCCGCCTCCCTCTCTCCGTGCACCCAGAAGCCTTCCCAGTAGGGACCCCAGAAGAAACTGTGACAGGGGCAAGTCAGTGCAGAGAAGCGGGTGGATGTGGCGGCGCGGCCGGTAGTACATGGGGTGGTTGGGCGTGTGGGACGTGGTTGTCTTGCGCTTGGGCTTGTGCTGGTGAGCGAGAGAGGGCGCTGCTGTGCCGCCCCATGCTCCCCCAACCTCGCTCTTTTTGTGCCCTGCGTTCCCCCATGCTCCCCCACCCTCTCCCATTCCTCCTCCTCCTGCATTGCCCCATCCTCCTCCACTCTCATCCGTTACTCCTCCTGCTTTCCCCCATCCTGCAGCACTCTCCCCTTCTCCTCCCGCCCCCCACCCTCCCTTCTGCCCCTGATCACTGCCCCACCCTCCAACTCCTCCCTCACCCTCTTCTACTCCTCCTTTCCCCCATCCAACCACACTCTCCCCTTCTCCGCCTGCCCCCCACCCACCCTTTTTCCCCTGATCGCTGCCCCACCCTCCAACTCCCCCCTCCGCATTTCCCCACCCCTTCCTTGCGCCCTCTTCCCCCTTACCATCCCCTCCTGCGCCTGCGTCCTCCCCAGCTCCCCCGATGCCCCAGGTTCCCTCTCCTTCCCCCGCACCTCCCCACCCTGCCCCTGCCGCCTCCCCTGCTGTCTCCTCTCCTTTCCCCTTCTCCTCTCTCCCCCACCCACCACCGCCATTGTCATTACTCCCCCATCCGCTTCTCTCCCCCCCCCCACCAGCAGCAGCAGCAGCACCAGCACCGTCAGCAACTGCATTCCATGAAGCCCATTCCCCCTTCTCACCCCCCTCCCGTCCTCGCACTCTGCCTCCACCCCACAGGGGCTCAACCGTGCCCCACCGTCCCAACCTGAACCGCCGCCGCCCCTTCCCCCTGCCCCCCTGCCCGCCACCCCCCCCCATGCACAGCAGCTCTGCCAGCGCAGCCTCATGCAGCGCCTCCTCCTCTCCCTCCCACCTTTCCTCCTCCTCCCACCCACCTTCCTCTTCCCTTCCTTCCACTCCTGCTGCCTCCCACCCCTCTCCCTGCCGCCCTCCCTGCCCCCATCCGTGAGCATGCCTGCCCTCATTTTCCGTGCTGTCATCCCCCCAAGCTCCTCCTCCTCTCCTGCTCCCCCCTCCTCCATAACCTCCCCCTCTTCTTCCTCCGCCTCTACCCCCTTCTCCCCGTCCCCAAGCTTTACCACCTTCCCCATCCCCCTCTCCCCCCCACCTCCCCCCTCGGCCCCGTCCCCTTCCCCTCCCCCGCCCACCCTGCCACCTCTCACGCCCTCCCCCCTCCCATCCTCCCTCCCCTCCTCTCTCACTGTCTTGCTCTCGCACACTCCCTCCCACTGCGTCCCATCCCCCACCTTCCTTGCCCTCCCCAGTTCCCTTAACCGCGCCCCATCCGTCTTTCCCTGATTCCTCCTCTCCTGCCTTTCTTCCCCAAGCAGCACCCTCCACCTCCTTCTCTCCCCCCCATGCACCTCCCTCCTTCCCCATCTCTCCCCCCCATCCCCCTTTCTCCTCATCTGCACCCCCCCAGCCCCCTCCCTCTTTACCCTCTTTCGTCCCTCCACCTCCCCATTTACCCTCCTCCCCTCCCCTACCTCCCCACCCACCTCCCCCTCCCGCATCCCCATCCCCTCCACCTCCCCATTTACCCTCCTCCCCTCCCCTTCCTCCCCACCCACCTCCCCCTCCCGCATCCCCATCCCCTCCACCTCCTGCCATGCCCCATCCTCCCCCCTCTTTATCTCCACTTCCTCCCCACCCACCACCATCTCCCCCTCCTCCTCCTGTGCCCCATCCTCCCCCCTCTTTCTCTCCACTCACCCCCCAAGCACCACCATCCCCTTCCCCTCCCCCAGTGCCCCATCCCCCCTCTTTCTCTCCGCTCGCCCCCCAACCACCACCACCCCCTCCATCCCCTCCCGTGCCCCATCCCCCCTCTCCTCCACCTCTGCTTCCTCCCCACCCACCACCATCTCCACCTCCTCCCCCCCATCCCCCATCCCCTCCTCCTCCACTGCCCCATCCCCCATCACCAGCAACAGCAGCAGCATCACCACCACCCCCCCAACCACTAACACCCCCACCACCCCACCCACCAGCACCAGCAGCTGCAGCGTCGGCAGCACCAGCTTTAGCCGCAGCTGTGGCAGCAGGAACAGGACCAGGAGGAGGAGGGGGAAGTGGGTCGTGGAGGATCAGATCGAAGCACGGGGCGGCGGTGCCAGCTGGCATGGGCTTGCCGGCCGCCACGCTGGCAACGACGCTCGCCAGGCTGTCAGACGCGTGCTGGATGGCTGCTGATGTGAACGTGCGGACTGGGTCCTGATGCAAGCACGAAAGGTAAGGGGTGAGAAGAAAGGGGAGAGGAGAGGCGAGTCACCCTCGCACACGCCCTGAGGAAAGGGCGAGAAAAATCCTAGATTGACTAAAAAAAAACAACCCACCCTCACATACTCCCTGAGGCAGCGCGACTCATCTCACACGCCTCTCAGGTAGGAAGAGGATGCGGTTTTTTGCGATATAGAAAACACCTCACCTTGACACACGCCCGGAGGAAGGGCGAGGAGGCGGGGTGGGAAGCGAGGGCAGCAAAGGACACGCCCTGGAGGGCCCCTGTGACGGTCATCCAGTCCGTTACCAACGCAAGATGACGCAGAGGCACCTTCGCCCCTGCTTCCCTCATCAGCTCACACAAACGCTGATGGGAGGGAAGGGGTGTGTGTGAGTGGGTGGAAGGGATGGAGGGAGGGAAGAGGGAGCAGGTGTGGAGAGATTACATTAGGAGCTGAATGACGCTGCTGATGAATGGAGTGAACAGCTGACAATACATGGAAGCAATGGGATGTGCGACGAGTTGGGCAAGCATAAATATGCATCCGAGTACGTGGCAGAGCGAAGCGATCAAGCACCACGATGAGATGTGGGTACGTGGCAGAGCGAAGCGATCAAGCATGTTGGGGGGAAAGCAAGAAAGATTGATATTGATAGGGGGCAGATAGACTTTTGAGTCGACTCAAAAGTCAGCGATCAAGCATGTTGGGGGGAAAGCAAGAAAGATTGATATTGTGCAATTGATAGAAGCGAAGCGATCAAGCATGTTGATAGGGGGCAGATAGAAGTGTGTTTTGAGTCGACTCAAAACACACCTCGATTCATATTGCGCCTAAATCAATGCATCCCATCCCATCTTCCCCCCGTTCTCCACTCCCTCCTCATCTGATCGGGAGGGAAAGCAAGAAAGATTGATATTGATAGGGGGCAGATAGAAGACGATTCAAATCCGAAATCGACGCCTAAAACTTCAAAGAAAATAGTCAAGAGCAATCTTCCTGTTGGAGTTGTGTGAGGCGGCGGGGACATCAGACTTAACGCATCTCTTCTCTGCCTCCTACCAGTGAGACAATATTCAGTTTCCTTCCCCCAACAAGCCCCAAGCGATGGATCCTCACCTCATCGCGGTGCTTGGTACCTATCAATGACCAAGAGCTGAGGATAGGTACCGACAGCTGTCGGTACCAAGCACCGCGATGAGGTGAGGGGATCACCTCACCTCCTACTTCTTAAGACCATCTTCTCAGTTAGATGGTAAACGCTATGGATTCGGCTGCACTTTGCCCTGGTATTGCGATTTCGCTTTGTAGTAGATTGCTAGCGTGAGCACAAATATTGGATTCAAGGTGAGAGTGACAGAAGGAGCAAGGGGATGAGAGGGATGCGGAGAGGGAACGGGAACGAGAGGGACAAGGAGAGGGAGGGAGAGAGGTGCGGAGAGAAGTGGAAAGAAGAGCAGACACTCACATCAAACAGCACAGAGCGAGCAGCTTCGATGCCAAGGGACTCTGCCACCTGCTGCAATCCCTCTGGCTGTTGAGGCGCCTAATAAAAAGGTGGCTACTCACATCAAACAGCACGGAGCGAGCAGCTTCGATGCCAAGCGACTCTGCCACCTGCTGCAGTCCCTCCGGGCGGCTCTTGGCCCAGTCGATGCTGTCACTACAATCAGCAGCCGCACAGGCAGCAGCGATGCCCGGCCACACGGCCCGCTGGGAGGAGAGGGAGACTGCGAGGGTAAGATGTCCAATGTCGCTAGTGCTGCTGTTGCTCTTGTTATCACTGCGGCTGCTGTTGCTGTCGTCCCCATCCTGCCATTGATTATGGGCTGCGTGGATAGCCGTGCTGCCTGTATGTTTCATTCAGTCCCACGAAGCCATCACATGCCACAAGAGCCCAGTCATACATGCACACACACACATGGAAACCCCGACAAGATCATATCATATCATTAGAGGCGCCTCAAAAGTCATGTGGGAAGTACTTGTCGCAAGAGCCAGTCAGACATGAAAGGCGCGCGCACACACACACACATGCACAGACACACACTCACACACACAATCCGCAGCCAACTATGTACACCGGAAAGGACAATTTTTTAGAGGCGTAACAGAAGTGACCAGCAGAACAGCCATGTGAGAACAGACCAACTATACTGAATTGGCAAGAGAGGTTGTGAAGGGTAAGGTGGCTATGTGGATGGGTTGGGTAGGCGTACCAAAGAACGAGGGAGAGCAATAGGGAGAGTTACAGCGATTGAGTGCAGTGAAAAGGAACAATTTATTTGCGACAATTGTGTTCTGAGAATTCTCACGAGTAGGAACAAACCGCTTACCTGCCACCAGTGTGTTGAGCACACTCGGCACAACCACTTCCCTCAGCGCCTCCAAATCAAACAGCGCCCCCCACCTGCCCTCATCTTAAGCAGCCGCCTCAAAAGTTATCTCAAAAGTAGTAGCTATACGTCTCACCTGCCACCAGTGTGTTGAGCACACTCGGCACAACCACTTCCCTCAGCGCCTCCAAATCAAACAGCGCCCCCCACCTGCCCTCATCTTACGCAGCCGCCTCAAAAGTTATCTCAAAATTAGTAGCTATACGTCTCACCTGCCACCAGTGTGTTGAGCACACTCGGCACAACCACTTCCCTCAGCGCCTCCAAATCAAACAGCGCCCCCCACCTGCCCTCATCTTAAGCAGCCGCCTCAAAAGTTATCTCAAAAGTAGTAGCTATACGTCTCACCTGCCACCAGTGTGTTGAGCACACTCGGCACAACCACTTCCCTCAGCGCCTCCAAATCAAACAGCGCCCCCCACCTGCCCTCATCTTATGCAGCCGCCTCAAAAGTTATCTCAAAATTAGTAGCTATACGTCTCACCTGCCACCAGTGTGTTGAGCACACTCGGCACAACCACTTCCCTCAGCGCCTCCAAATCAAACAGCGCCCCCCACCTGCCCTCATCCTCTCCTGCCTCTGCCTCCTCCTCCTCCCGCCCAGCACCCCTCCCCTCCCGCCCTCTACCCCTACGAGCCAGGCCTCTGAGGGCAGGTCGAGCGAGCTCCACATGCACACAGGCACAGGCGCCCTGGCAGGAGCCAGTGGTGGGGTCACGGCTGGATGGGAGCAGACAGCGGGACCTGAGGGGATGGGACGCGTGGGAAGAGGAGGGGAAGGGAAGTGAGGAATGCGGGGAGGTAGAGGTTGAGGAAAGGAGGAGGAAACTTGTAAGTGGGTCTGCTGCTGTGCTGATGTGCAGTGGAAGAGGGTGTGTGTGCATGTGCACACGTGTGTGAGAGTGCAAGCGCATGTGCGTGCGTGCGTGTTGATTTGTGTGAGTGTAGCTGGTGGGTGGGTGGACAGGGAAGAGAGGAAACGGAGGGGTGTTTACAGTGACGATTACTCAAATGCGCTGACACAGTGACCACGACAGGACTGATGACGACGCAGCACGGATCCACTCACTTGACGTCCACATGCATCAGATGCACCAGGTACGACTTTTGAGGCGCCTCAAAAGTCAGCACGGATCCACTCACTTGATGTCCACGTGCATCAGATGCACCAGGTCGCCTGCCCCACACGCCTTCCCCGTCCTCTCCATGTGCCACGTGTCAAGATGTGATTGGACGGCTGCCTTCACAGCTTGATGGATGGCGGCGGGAGGATCGGGTAAGCGAGACGCTGGCAGGCAAGCGAATGTCTTGGCTACTGCGTCCTGTGGTGAGGAAATACAACAAGGGAAACACATGGAAAACAGGGGGAAAACGTGAGGGAAACACATGGAAAACAGGGGGCAAACGTGAGGGAAACACACGGAAAACAGGGGGCAAACGTGAGGGAAACACACGGAAAACAGGGGGAAAACGTGAGGGTAACACATGGAAAACAGGGGGCAAACGTGAGGGAAACACATGGAAAACAGGGGGCAAACGTGAGGGAAACACACGGAAAACAGGGGGCAAACGTGAGGGAAACACACGGAAAACAGGGGGAAAACGTGAGGGTAACACATGGAAAACAGGGGGCAAACGTGAGGGAAACACATGGAAAACAGGGGGCAAACGTGAGGGAAACACACGGAAAACAGGGGGCAAACGTGAGGGAAACACACGGAAAACAGGGGGCAAACGTGAGGGAAGGAAACACATGGAAAACAGGGGGCAAACGTGAGGGAAACGCATGGCAGGAAGTCATCTCGCATGGCAGGCAGTCATCTCGCATGGCAGGCAGTCATCTCGCATGGCAGGCAGTCATCTCGCATGGCAGGCAGTCATCTCGCATGGCAGGCAGTCATCTCGCATGGCTCCCAGGAAAACGCAGCAGAGGAAAACACAACCAAAGCTGGTCAGTTCATCAAACAGCCGATGGTGCACCCACCAGCACGCCTCCTCCAGTCCTGCTCCCTCCTCACTCACACCCGTGTGCGAATCCCTCTCCATCACTCCGTGTCATGCAATTACATGCATACAACACAGCCGTTCTCACCTCCGACAGCCGAATGTGCACCCGCCAGCAAGCCTCCTTCACTCCTGCCCTCTCCTCCTCCCATCCTCGTACCCACCCCTCTCCATCACTCTGTTTCATGGAATTACACGGTCACACATCGCAATCTTTCTCACCTCTGACAGCCGAATGTGCACCCGCCAGCAGGACTCCTTCACTCCTGCCCTCTCCTCCTCCCATCCTCTCCCACCCCCCCTCCTCCCGTTTCCTGCCCCTCCCTTCCCTCTCTCCCCTCCCTGTCTGTCTCTTCCTCTCTTCCTGCCCCTTCCACCTCCCCCCTGCTGCAGCCTTGTTTCTGTATCCTCCTGCTGTCTCTGCCTCTCCTTCTCCCTCTCACTCCTTGCTTTCGCTTCACTTGCTTGCACTCCCTCATCCCACCGCCTCAGCTCCCTTCTCCGGTACCTGAATGGGGAAAGTTGAGGTGGGTGGGGAGATGGGGCAAGGGTGCTTATTGTCTCTCTTGCTTGCACTCCCTCATCCCACCGCCTCAGCTCCCTTCTCCGGTACCTGGGAAAGTTTGCGGTGGACTGGGGATGGGGATATGAGAGAAAGGGAACAGTGGCTAGGGGGGAAGGGAAGGGGGAGGGAGAATCTTCTTTCGCAGAAACGGAGTCATACTGAGAGGCACACAGTTCATGATTCGACTCTGAAAACAGCTTCATCCTGCGTGAAGTAATAAAACAGATCTGTCCTTGTGACTCCGTTTTTTCTTTTGTTTTGTCTTGCTCAGGAACAGACTCGTTCTGTCTTAGCTGGCTGTGTCTTATTCACCCTGCCACTCACTCGATCATAACGCGGGGGCCTAGCCGCCTCGAGGCACCTCAGAAGTACTAGCTGCCTGCCTTTGCCTTGGCCATGCAACTCACTCGATCATGACGTGCGAGGCTAGCTGGCAGCAGCCGACCCTGTGTTGCCAGCGCCAATTGACAGTCCGCTGCTGCTGCACCAGCAGTGGCAGGAGCACTAAACCCCTTACCTGCCTATCCCTTCTAAGCCACGCTACTCACTCGATCATGACATGAGAGGCAAGCTGCCTGACACGCAGAGGCAGCAGCCGGCCCTGCGTTGCCAGCGCCAACCGACAGTCAGCCGCTGCAGCAGAAGCAGCAGCAGCAGCAGGTGGGTGTGCAGAGCCGGCTGTGTTGTCGGTGGCAGGAGGTGTGGCATGAGCAGGGAGGAACCGCAGCAGGGCTGTCGGAGAGGAGTCAGTTGCGTAGAGAAGGCGCTGGAGGGAGAGTGTGACAAGTAGGTTGGGATAGGGGAAAGAACAAGAAGGAAGATACGAATGGATAGACTTTAAAAGCTGTGGACAAATAGTTTGGGACAGGGCATTAGAGAGGTGGAATGCAGTTGTCGATCAAATCACCCTGACTGGAAATATGGCACGTTAAAAGAATTTCCCGCACCTCTAGCCGCGCAGTGAGGGAGAAGGCGCCACCGTGCACGCCGTCATGCCCCACGTTCAGCACCATCTGTATGGCCGGTGCCGACACTGCTTGCAACACCACGAGATACAGTGATCAAGACTCATTCTCTTTCTCACCTCTAGCCGTGCAATGAGGGACGAGGCGCCACCATGTACGCCGTCATGCCCCACGTTCAGCACCATCTGTGTGGGCAGCGCAGACTCTGCTTGCATGACCAGGACAGTGAGTGACCGCGACTCATACTAACCTCGCTCTCCCTTGCACCTCCTCTTCTCTCTTTCTCACCTCTAGCCGTGCAATGAGGGACGAGGCGCCACCATGCACGCCGTCATGGCCCACGTTGAGCACCATCTGTGTGGCCGGTGCCGACACTGCTTGCGCCGCTGCCATCCCCACTGCATCCCCTGCTTCCGCCCATGCACCCCCTTGCTCCACCACCTCACTCCTCCCACCCCGCTTCTTCCCTTCCACATTCTCCTTTCCCTTCTCCTTGCCCTTCTCGCCCACCTTGCCCTTCCCCTTTCCCTTGCCGCTCCCACTCTTTCCTTTCCCAGATTTACCTCCCCGCCTTTCCTCCTCCCTCTCCTCGCCCCCTTCCCCGCCCTCTCCCCCTTCCTCCACCCCCAACCGTCCATATGACAGTTGCACCACCATACCTCCCTTCCCTCCCCCCCCTCTTCCTCCCACTCCTCCTCCAATCCTCGCAGACCCATCATATCCCACCACGATATCCCTAAGCGTTTCCCTCAGCTTTCTGGAAAGCTCACCCGGCCGAGCCACGCTCGTAGCCTCGGCAACCAACGCAGGCCTGGCCGAAGCTGCGGCCCGGAATAGCTCTCGAGCCAAAAGCCCCGTCAGGAGGGAGCCTCGGGCTAAGCCTAGCCCCAAGCCTTGGGAAGGGGCATGAGCAGGAGAAGAGGAATCAGCCGGGGGGTCAACAGGGGCATGAGCAGGAGAAGGGGCACCAGCAGGGGCATGAGTAGGGGAATGGATAGAGTTGGCAGGGCCTTTGTTAAGTGACTGTTTTGGAGCAAAGAGCTTCAGCTGGATCGGATCGAGGACATGAGGAGCATGGGGCAGGGAGTGGGTCGGGCAGTGGGGCATCTCTGTGTGTTGCGGCTGCACCTGCTGGGCAATCACCTTGGGCGAGCCCTTGCTGCCCGCCCCCACCATCTCCCTCACCGCATTACCCCGCGGGAACAAGGGCGAAGCACGCGAGAAGAGCGGCGGAGCAGGGGAAGGAGGAGGAGCAGAAGGGGAGTTAGAGGTGGAAGCAGGCAGGTCACGGAAAGCAGAGGAGGAGGCACCGGCAGCAGCAGGCACTGGCAGGCCACAGGAGGCATTAGCAGCAGCACCAGTAGAGGGAAGGCCACAGAAATCTGAGAGGCCGGCACTGAAGCCGGCGATAGATGACAAATAGTTCACTGCCAGGGCCTGCACGCCCGCCAGGTGTCGCGCCGCCATTGGCGGATGGTGCTGCCAGATTGCTGCCAGCAAGCCGTCGCTGCCGCCCCTCAGCCACCGCGATTCCTCCCCCACCTCCACCTCCTCCTCTCTTTTACCCTTGCTTCCCTCCTTCCTTTCTCTTCCCTCCTTGTTACCACCTTCTCCCTCCTCACTGTCCTCCTCCCCTTCCTCATCCTCCTCCATCACCACCTTCAAACCTCCACTCTCCTCCTCACTCTTTCCCTTCTCCCTGCTCGCCCTTTCATCCCTATGCCTCCTCGCTCCCCTCCCCACCCCCATGCGCCCATGCTCGTTCACAAATACCACCTCCCCCTGATGGACCCGCACGCCGCACTGGCGGTGCTGAAAGCAGAGGGAGGGAGGGATGACGGTGGAGAGCAGCTGAAGGGAGGTCCAGAGAGGAGGGGCAGGCGGAGGGGGATGGTGGCTGTTGCTGTTGCTGTTGCTGCTTGGGAGAGGGTATTTTAGAATGGCTGGTGGTGGAAGAGGAAAATAGGGATTCTTTGTTGCTGCTCCTGCTCCTGCTCCTGCTCCTACTCCTGCTCCTACTCCTAATGCTGCCTTCCCTTCGTCCTCTCCTCGTGTCGTCCCCATTGCAAGTTCCCGTCCCCACTCCTGATCATCCACAACAGCAATCACCCCTCCTCCCTCACCTTCCCTTCCCCCTCCCGCCCCCCCGCTCCCCTCTCTTCCACCCCTCCTTCCCCGCCTGCTTCTCCAATCCCAGCCATCCCCCTGTCCCCCTCCTCCAGTCACCAGCCCCATTCCCTCCCACGCGTGCAGGGCAAGCTGGGTGGCGTCTGGGCGGGAGAGGAAGAGCGAGGGGGAGGAAGGGGGAGGGGAGGCGAGGAGGTGCAGACCCAGCAACGCGTCCTGCTGGAGGGACATGACTGCTGGGTCGTGGTGTGGGGCGTGCGGGTGAGGAGAAGAGGAGAAGGTGGAGGAGGATGAGCGGGAGGAGGAGTGACAAGAGCAGCGGGCGGAGGAACGAGAGGAGGTAGCAGCAGCTGCTGGTGCTGTGGTGGTAGTGGGACGAGACGTAGAGGGACCAGGCGAGGGAGGACACAAAGGTTCAGTGGGGGGAGGAGGAGGAGGAGGAGGAGGGAGTGGTGGAGGGGCGAGTGGCGGAAGGGGGAGGGAGGGGAAGAGCTGCTTGTCGACGGGCATGAGCTCTGCTGCCTCTGCTGCCACGGCGCTCTGCTGCACCGTGAACACGTTCACCTCGTCTCCGTCGAAGTCGCCTGCTATTGCTGCACACACCTGCGAGGGGGGAAGGGGAAGAGGGAGGAGAGGTTACTCGCCTGTCTCTGCTGCCACGGCGCTCTGCTGCACCGTGAACACGTTCACTTCATTCCCGCCAAAATCACCTGCTATGGCTGCACACTCCTGGTTACATGGGAGGAGGTGGGAGAGGAGGGGACAGACAAAAGAAGGAGTTGCTATTTGTCCTTCCTTTTTGACATAAACCGTGCAAACGAAGGGCACAGGACAGAAAGGTATGCACAAAAGCATCTGTGCGCACGTGTATGCAAGTGCGCACACGCACACAACCACACATATGGTGAATGATCATACCTGGGGATTGAGCAGGAGCGCGTTGGCAGACACAGCAGCCGGCACGCGGCGCACGCGAAACGCCATGAGGTTCTGCTTGTGCAGCGAGGGCGTGCGGTTGAGCAGCAGCCAATCGCCATCCGCCACGTGGCGCAGCACCGTCATCCCCACCATCCTCCCCCCGCCACCGTCCCCACCACCACCACCAAAACCATCACCACCATCACCAGCAGCACCAGCACCAGCACCAGCAGCAGTGACAGTGGGTGCAATGCCCGCAAGCAGGGAAGACCTCACATACGCTGCAAGGGCAGCAGATGCCCGCTCTGATGCAGAAGGTGCGCCTGGGGTAGGTAGACCTGATCCAGGTGCACCTGAGACTGGCCCAGTTCCCACCTGCAGGCTCAAGCCTCGATCCACCCATCGGCTCAGAGTCACCTTGGTCCACTCTGGCGTGCCGCCATTGGCTGATGCTCCTCCTGTGATTCCTCCAGGAGGCTCGGAGCCAATGAGCACGCTGAACGCACCGACAGGTGGCAGGACGTGGTTGGGTGGGCGGGGAGGGCGGCGATCGGGCGAAGGGGACGGTGCAGGAGGAAAGACTGCATCACCGGGCGCTGTGGCTCCCCAGGTATTACCTCCTGCAGCAATGGCAGCAGCAGGTGCAGTGCCCCAAGCCCCACCACCCGTGCCCCAGCCATCACCACTGGCACTGGCAGCACCAGCAGTAGCATCACCACCCCATCCACCAGCACCATTACCACCTGCAGAAGTGGCAGCAGCAGGTGCTGTGCCCCAAGCCCCACCTCCTGTGCCCCAGCCACCACTACTGGCACCGGCAGCAGCAGAACCAGGAGCAGTACTGTTGTTCCCTCCCCATCCACCAGCATCACCACCAGCACCGGCAACATTGTTCCCCCAGCCCGAAGCACCAGCAGCAGCAGGGGCAGCAGCACCACCCCAACCACCACCACCATTATCACCCCCATTCTTTCCCCAGCCTGAAGCACCAGCGCCAGCATCAGCAGGAGCATCATCGCTGGGAGCATCATCGCTGGCAGCAGCAGCACCACCCCAACCACCAGCATTACCGTCAGCAGCAGTAGCCGTGGCAGTACCGTCACCACCACCCCAACCCCCGGCATTACTGTCAGCAGCAGTTGCAGTGGCAGCACCATCACCACCACCCCAACCCCCGGCAGAACCACCAGCACCACTCCCTCCCCAACCACCCCCACCACCGCCACCAGCAGCAGCAGCATCACCACCATTGCCACCCCAACCACCAGCGTTACCGCCGGCAGCATCTGCAGCAGTAGCAACAGCACCAGGAGCAGCATCGTCATTACCACCCCAACCACCAGCAGAACCACCAGCACCACCACTCCCCCCCCAACCACCCCCACCGGCATCATCATCAGCAGCAGCTGGGGCAGCAGCACCACCACTGTCGCCGCCCCAACAACCTGCTTCACCGCCAGCAGCACCGCCACCACCACTGTCACTACTACCCCAACCACCAGCAGAACCACCACCACTGCCACCATTCCCTCCCCAACCATCCCCACCACCGCCACCAGCAGCAGCACCGTTACCACCACCCCAACCACCCGCAGAACCAGCATCAACGCCATCCTTGGCAGCAGCAGCAGCAGTATCATCGCCATTAGCAGCAGTAGCACCAGCATCGGCAACACCAGCAGCATCAGCATCAGCAGCAGCAGCAGCATCAGCAGTAGCATCAGCATCAGCATCAGCACCCCATCCATTCACCGCCTCATCTCCAGGCTTCTTTGCATCCGCCTCGCCCTGCTCCCTTTCTCCCCATACCCCTTGTTCTGCCGCCTCTGCCTTGTCCTCCTCCTCCTGACTTGCTTCCACATCTCCCCATCCAACTTGCCCCACTCCCTCCGCCTCTCCCGCCTTCTCCTCATCTTTCTCCCCTTCTCCCCACCCCCCTTGCACTGCTCCATCTCCTTTCTCCTCACTCTTCTCTCCTTCTTTCTTCTCCTCATCTTTCTCCCCTTCTCCCCACCCCCCTTGCACTGCTCCATCTCCTTTCTCCTCACTCTTCTCTCCTTCTTTCTTCTCCTCATCTTTCTCCCCTTCTCCCCACCCCCCTTGCACTGCTCCATCTCCTTTCTCCTTACTCTTCTCTCCTTTCTCCTCACTCTTCTCTCCTTTCTCCTCACTCTTCTCTCCTTCTTTCTTCTCCTCTTCTTTCTCCCCTTCTCCCCACCCCCCTTGCACTGCTCCGCCTCCCTTCTCCACACTCTTTTCCTCCTCTTTCTCCTCTTTCTTCTCCCCCTCTTTCTCCTTGGCAGCAGCACCAACATCATCACCCCATCCATCCCCACCAGTATCATCTGCAGCACCAGCATCACCATTTCCCCCAGCAGCAGCAGCAGCAGCAGCAGCAGCCTCCAAACCCCATGCACCCCCTTCACCCCCACCAGCAGACGCATCAGCCCCCCAACCACCCCCACCACCCGCAGCAGCAGCAGCAGCATCAGCAGGAGCATCCGTGCCCCATGCACCCCTTTCGCCCCCAGCAGCAGAAGCATCGGCCCCCCACCCACTCCCACCAGCACCACCCCTTTCAGCAGCAGGAGCATCACCACTCCTCCCACCAGCAGGAGCATCCGTGCCCCATGCACCCCCTTCGCTCGAAGCAGCAGAGGCGTCAGCCCCCCAACCACTCCCACCACCTGTACCAGCAGCAGCAGCAGCAGAGGCATCAGCTCCCCACCCACTCGCACCAGCAGCACCATCGCCACCACTAGCACCCCAGCCTGCACCATCATCATCAGCAGCAGCAGCACCCCAGCCTGCACCATCATCAGCAGCAGCAGCAGCACCCCAGCCTGCACCATCATCAGCAGCAGCAGCAGCACCCCAGCCTGCACCATCATCATCAGCAGCAGCAGCACCCCAGCCACCAGTATTAGTTGCAGCAGCCACACCTCCATCTCCACCCGCAGTGGCACCCCAACCTGCGCCAGCAGCAGCACCACCACCCCAGCCTGCATCAGCAGCACCACCAGCACCACCAGCAGCACCCCAACCTGCATTAGCAGCAGCAGGCGCACCTCCATCCCCACCCGCACCAGAAGCCCAACCACCACCAGCACCACCGCTGCCACCACCACAGGCGTCCCCTTCTCCTCCGGTGTCCAGAGGCGGTGGGAGGGGCAGCGGGCATGGCCCTGCGTCCACACAGGCTTGCAGGAAGTCGAGGTTGAGATGAGACACAGGCTCCTGGGGAGAGAAGTGTGAGGGTTAAGGGATGAAAGAAAGGGAGGGGCATAAGCTAAAGCACCAAAGGCGAGGGCAGCACGGGTGTGCGTCCACACAGGCTTGCAGGAAGTCGAGGCAAGATGAGACACGGGCTCTTGGGGAGAGAAGTGTGAGGGTTAAGGGATGAAAGAAAGGGAGGGGCATAAGCTAAAGCACGGAAGGCGAGGGCAGCACGGGCGTGCGTCCACACAGGCTTGCAGGAAGTCGAGGCAAGATGAGACACGGGCTCTTGGGGAGAGGAGAGAGAGGAAGGGGGAAACGGAAGAGAAAAATGGAAGGGAGAAAGGAAAGGGAGAAGGGAGGGGTCGGGTGCGATGGCGGCGCAGGCAGGGGAGTCGGAGCGGGCAGGGGAGACGAAGTCGGGCGGGCGGGCAAGTATTTTGCAAGGAGCTCAGCTCAGTAGTGGAGGAGCTCAGTACTTTGCAAAGAAGCTCACCTGGACGAAGAGACCAGCAGCGATGGAGTCAGGGACACCGATTTCATGCAGAGCCAGGGA